GATTCCGGGATCAGAAAAATGGGGGGCTGATAGTGTTCCTGGGAGAAAAAAAGGGGAAAGTGGAGGGCTGTCTGGGAGACAGTAATGTGAAGCGGGGTGCTGTCCGGGAGACGTAAGGGTGAAGCGGGAGGGCGTCCTGGGAGACAGAAATGGGAAGGGAGATACTGTCCTGGGGCAGAAATGGTGAAGCGGGGGTGCTGTCCGGGGAGACAGAAATGGTGAAGCGGAGATACTGCCCTGGGAACGAAATGGGGAAGCTGGGGGGTCTGCCCGGGGGAGACAGAAATGGTAAGGGAGTATGCCCGGGAACAGAAAGGGTGAAGCTGGGATATTGCCCAGTATCGGGAATTATACGAGGAAGGAATACATATAAAGATCTATGGGGGACAGGACCCCATAGAGGGAAACAAGTGTATTCAAAGATAAGATAAAACCAATATGCAAACTAAAATACCGCGGGGAAATAGCAAACAAGAGGACCCAAATAGCAAAGTGAGGATAAATTACCAAAAACAACTGGTGGAGCTCCATTGGGGTGCTGGGGAGGATAGAATAAGACAGGGAACATGCCCCAACGGGGAATACGTCCAGAAACCCCAAAGGGCAAGGGAAACCAAGCCTGTGCACATACTATGCATGGTACTGCTGGCAGGGGGAAATCTGAAAAACAATGGACATGCAACTATGACCCCCCAAAAACCCATGCCCATTAAAACAGGAAAATGCAAACCCCCTTTCCCGTAAGCTTTTTCACCCGAATGTGTACCCCCTTCAGTACGGGAAAAGACGGCTATAATTAAATTGCCGGCATACCATCAAAAGGGGGACAAAAAGAACAAAACATCCAGGCCAGGGAAAACCTGGTTAGCCACAGCCACTCAAGAGGAAGGTTTTGTCCCGGGAAAGGGAAAAAAAAAGGCGGGGAAATGGCAGAAATCGTACACCAAACCCGTCATTCCGGGAGTGGAAACCCACAGTCGAGGGCCCCCACTCCAAACCAAAATACAATCAATCCCGGAAAAAAAAAAATCCCCCCCCAGTACCAAAAAATACCACCAGTCCGATAACTTCTTTTTGCAATATACGGGGTCAAACCCAGCTACAAAAAACAAAATCCCTTTTCATCCGGGGACGCTTGCAGGGGCAAAGGCAATGTTCGCGGCTTTCACTGGACCCAATAAAAACATTTGGACAACGAAGATGGCCCCAGGTTAAAACCTAACGATGTGACAGAGTAAAACAGGCAAAAGGGGGGGGGGGTTGGCCTTACATTGCAGAGTCACTTGTTTGCACAGAACTGTTTAAAATGCCTCAAATGACGTAGGGGAAGTTTTAGCATAAAGGGTCGAGAAAAAAAACCTATCATTGGGAAAAGTCACAAGCCTCCGGATGAAACATCCAAAAATTTCCGGAACAGCTGTTAAAAATTGACCATGTCGGAAAATTTTCCGCTCCTGCCCCCAAAACATCTTGCCCCCTGGGGGTTTTCAACTTAAGGCACCAAAATGGAGGAATATAAAAATAATATTGTTGCAGAAATAACACCAAGGCACCCTTGATAAAAACTCACACTCACACGGCTTTTAAATCTCTGCAAAAAAATTCAATTTAAACCCAAATAATAAGCCTACAAGACGGGAAAATACACAGACTCATCTTACTAAAAATGATGACTATAAAAAAATGTCACCATATCAAAAACAATATACCAGAACAACATAATTGAGGTTCAGCTGTATGCTGGAGCCCCAGACCGACAAAATGAGCTATACGGGGGAGCATTACCAAATTCAACTTCAAAAACAAAAAATAAAGTGGACCAATAAAACCAAATCCCAAAAGATATAAGCTGGGGAAAATATACTAAGCAAAAACAGACCCCAAACTTATGCCTGAACAAATTAATTTGGTGCACTCGATTATCACAAGGCTTTTCCTCAAGAAAAAGGAGGGGTAGATGTAAAATAGAAAAAGACAGGGCCCCCCTTTACAGGGGGACGGAAAAAAATAACAACGGCTAAAAAGGTCAATATATCTGAAAAGCGCAGGGAGACACTGGGGCGAGAAAAAGCAAGCACGAACTTAAGCAAAAAAAAATCCTTAGGAGTCGGAACGCGGGAAGAACTAAAACCAAAATGAAATCAAAAAAACCAAAATAATTTTTCTCCTTGCCAAATCAAACGGAACAAAAGTCCGTAAAGGGGGCCCCACTTAAACAAGATGGGGTCCTACACAGATGACAGCAAGGAAAAGAGTGGTATCAAATCCCCCTATGCTCATTTTAGCAAGCCCCAACCAACGAGAGTCGAAACCAAAAAATGAATTTTTTATGAAGAGCCCCAAAAATTTGACTAACACAAGCCTTCCGTGTTTTCCTGAGCCAATGACTTCGAACAGGGGAAAATGAATGCCCATGCACTCTGCCCCAGGGCCAACCCTGGAACTCTGTTTTCACAAGAACGCAAGAAGCCCTATCAGAGCCTTTCCACCTATGGAGAGGGGGCGGACACGGGGGCGCCCTCAGTTACTAAAAAAACGACAAACCCCCCTCCACAAAGGGGGCAGTAAAGCAACACAAAGAACCAAAACCAAAAAGCACTAACATCCCCTATCATAAAAAAACTTTTAAAGGGGCCTAAGAAGCAAAATCCCCCCCATCTAGAACCCTCATTACACAACCCCGGGCAAATGGGGGTTTGAACAGGGCGCTCCTTTGTTCAATAGGATCACTACGACAAGGTCCTAAATGCACTAAAGACAAAAAGAATGCAGAGTAATATATACGACTTTGCAAAGCCTTCGCAAGTGGACCATGGCGTAAAAGCGCACAAAAAACGCGTAAAGGGAAAACAGGGAAAAATCGGTCGAGGATCTATAATTTCCCCACTAACAAAACACAGAGAGTAGTCGTCAACAGAGAAAGTCGAGGGAGCTACGGTAAAAACTCGTCCACAAGGCACAGTACTACTCCCCCCTTGTTTCCTCATCCTCTATCCACATAGACAAGGATGTCAGCCACAGCACCCTGCTTTCCCTTTTCAATGACACCCGAATCTGCATGACAGGCTTCCATTTCAGACACTGAAAGGCTCCAGGGGGGGACATCAACCAAAACTTTCAGGGCTGCAGAAAACAATAAAGTTAACAAGAAATTTCAATTACTCGATATGGTAAACATGAGGGAAAAAAATCTTCATCGAGACAAAACAAATTCTGGCCCCAAAAAAGCGAAACACCCAAGCAAAGCCTAGGGGTGATTATTCGGAGGCTCACCCTTTAAGGACCATAACTTGTACAATCGCAAACTGCAGAAAAAAAAACAGGATGGTAATGAGAACCTTCAAATAGGGAGGGCCAAAACCCCCTGGACACTTTCAGGTTACTTTTTCTATCTAGGCTGGAATATTTCTGCACCTAACGCACTTTCAAGGCAGGTAAATTTCCGCCAGAAAAGACAAGAACTTTTACGGGGCGCATAAAGGAGTAAAACACCTCAATTACTGGGGGCGTTGAGGTTTCTAAAACCCTTTTTTCCCGGAACGCAGGGGGGGGATACATGATTATATACACCTGGAAATCCTAGAGGGATAGTACCAAAATTGCACACGAAATCACTCATACGAAAGAAAAGATTGGGAGACGAGCCCCATCCCCCCAATGAAAAGCAGGGGGCACTGGGGGCGTAAAGACCATACAATAAGTGTCGGGGCCGAACTGTTTAACTGCCCCCAGACACATAAGGGGGATTACCAACGACCCTGGCGTCTTCAAGCTGGCACTGGACAAGCAAATAAAGTCATTCCCATCAGCCGGGCTGTGGCTCGTAGTTTGGTTTGCGTCACCAGCAGCAAGGCCTGGTTGAGGCGCTGATCCCCCCAGGAGGCCGGTCACAACCGGGCCGCGGGGCGTTGACCCCCAAACTCTCTCCCCGTAAACCCAGGGACGTATATATATTTAAAAATTTATATATTAAATAAATAAATATATATTATATTATATATATATTTTTATATATAAATATAAATATATATAAATATATTATATATAAATAATATATTATATATAATATAAATAAGCAGTATATCCTTGTTGCATAAGAAAAAGGGTTTCCCCTCGGGGTATCTGTGCATATACATTCTCGGGGTTTTAATAAGATGTATCTTCATTGTATATACCACCTCATGGGAAAACATATAGATAAATGATTATCTAAGTGAGGGGCAGAAGAGACCAAGAAAATGCTCAGGGATGAAGAGTGAGCTTGAGGGAGAACTTACCCCCAGCGCCGCACCGTATCCTGCCAGGTGGAAGGGGGCCCGGGTCCTCCGTAGGGCGTAGGCCTCTGAGGGCTTGGAGGTTGGGGGGTCCTTGAGGCCGGGGGAAGCCACTTCGGTGAATGGCTACCACGTGCACCCTCCACCTATCACCCTACACTCTCCACCCCCAGCCGCAAAATGGGGGTAAAAAAAGAATCTTGGAATAACACTTTGATTTTATTGGGGTTTCTTATTCAAATTACGCATTACTGGGGAAAACAAAGTAAAAATCGAACTTTAGTAATGTATTTAAAAAACCTGCTCATACAAATAATCACTACGACCCCCCATGACACTCTTACCCTTACTAACACCAAAACCTTTCCCCCACCATACTTATTTTCGCTTATCACCCAACTCAATTGCAACATACCTACATACACCAAAACCATCACCGACCCACACCAACCACACAAAACCCCACCAACACCCCTACCTACCAACCCATCCACACCCGCACCCTCACCTATCCCCCACACCAAATCCCACCACCCACACCACACCACCACCTACTACCAAAACCCCATCACCAACACCCAAAACTTGCTTAAACAGGGTTGACTCGCTATGTGCTATAGTAGTCTGGTTGTTGCGGGGAGGGGGTTTACACCCCCCCCCCCCCGTTAACATTCTTTACTTGTCAGGTACCCTTAACACCACCTCACCCAACACATCACTTTAACTCACCAGGTCACCATCAACATGTATAGTGAGGGAGGTGAGGTTGAAGGAGAGGTCGATACTCCTCCACACTGTGGCTAGTGACGGCCAACCTTAGACAGAACAACATGTAATACTTTATTGAAATTGTGAAGATGTTCGAAGAACAGACATGTTTATGATTTTATGGTCACATTGTTATTTATTATTCTTATTAATTATTGCTATTAATATTTATTATTATTATTATTATTTATTATTATTATTAATTATTATTATCATTATTAATTATCATTATTAATTATTACTATTAATTATTATTATTATTACTATTAATATTTATTATTATAATTATTATTCATGTAGCACTACTGAATCTGCGATCGACACCATGCCCAGCCTTTCTAGGGTAGGGTAGGTGCCTGAGCCCGAGCCTTTAGCTCATAAGACTGTCATTCCCATTAGTCCCCTTGGGACGGGGATGGCAGACCAGAGAGGCCTAGCTTGTGGCTAGGCCTGGGGACAGTTGGTCCCAAAGATGAGGAGGTACTTGTGCCTCCTCCCATGGGAGACTTAGGTCTCAGACACTCCCTAAAGAGGGAGCCAAGGCCGGGCCACCACTTGGACAAGGCCCGGGCCGGGAGAATACCGGCGAATATTTAACTAACTAACTAACTGAATCTGCACCAACAGCAACAACCTGGTTGACCAGGCAAGCACCAGACAAGTCTGGCCCATGACCGGGCTCTGGGAATAGAAAAATTCTCGGAACTCATCAAAGGTATAGTTCTACTATTACAAACTTCTACCTATACATATCCACCTATAACATAAACTACCTATAGATCTCTATAACAAACTTCATCCTATAGATCTCCACCTATAAACATTAACTATTCCTTAACACAACTCATTATAATTTTCCTACCTCTGGACTATCATTTTATATCAGTAGATATACTAACGTTTGCTTTGAATAGATCAGTTATAACTAATAACTATTGTACTATACCTCTCCATGTTGAAATTCCTTTGCAATGCTGACAATCTTATTTTGACAATATCACCTTTTACCCATAATTATAGGCAATAAATCTTATTATTGACCGTTCGTGTAATATGTCATAAAATATATGTAAAATTTGACATGTTGTTAAGAAATGTTTTCACACCTCCCTTATGGACACTTAAACAGTAGCATTTGTTTTGATGCTCTTCCTGCACACGATGTATAGCTCTCCATTAATTCAACTTTTATCATAGGATGAAGATACAAAATCTAATCAGGACTTTATATCTTTGAATAACTTCTGCTGCTGCTAGTTTTTTTTAACAATTATTTCTGTTTTATTCTAATCCACTGTGTGAGAACGTAGTTAAAGATGAGTTATGTAGCAGTTGAATACAACGGTAATTCTCCAAGCATACTTGAGCTCAATAACTCTTATGTAACAGATATCTGTAAGTGACACTGAAGAACCACACTTACCCCACACTACCTGAAGCAGCAGCATCACGATTGTGTTCATCTAAATGGGCGACCACTGGATGCTGTAGAAGATTGTGGGGGAGGGATGTGGCAGGATTTAACAGAAGGGTGCACTGCACTGTACTGGATGTAGTGTGGAGGGGGAGGAAGAGGGGGAGGGCGAGGGGGAGGGGGAGGGGTGAAGGAAGTCTCTGGGGCTGTGAAGTAAGTGTTGAGTATGTGATGGGGGGAAAAAAGTGTGAAAGAAGTAGTGTGAAGTGAGATACCTGTGCTGTAAATGAGGTTGTGGCTGCTGCTGGCACTGTGTCAGGTGTGTGTGTGTGTGTGTGTGTGTGTGTGTGTGTGTGTGTGTGTGTACACTTAGGTTTCCTTCACATCAGCATCCACTCAGCGTCCTTGCTTCATCCAAAATACACTGTAAAAAAACAAAAAAAAAACAGTATTCCTGTTAGTGTAGGCACCCAGCTAAGAAAGATGAGACTAAAACAATCACAAACAAAACACAGACAAATGCAATCAGTAATTGGACATTTGTCGGCTTGACAAAGCTCCTGGAGAGCGAAACGTTGCCATAATAAAATGTTACATTAGTTGCACTTGTGTCCTTTTACCTAGCACTGTTATTTCTACATCTAATTTATTTTAATGACATTTTAAAATTGAGCATTATTTAAATAATAATAATAATAATAATAATGATAATAATAATATAATAATAATAATAATAATAATAATAATAATAATAATAATAATAACAACACCGGTGTCCCTTCAAGATCATCGTAAATATATACATATAATTCGTTAAAAAAACTTGTTCAATTAATTACTAACAGCCGTAGGCTGGTGCTCATACTAAAAATTTTCTTTCCCGAGACCACAAAAAATAATAGTCAGAGTTATAAGTGATAATCACGTTTTAAGAGGGTTGGCGATTGGAACTGAATCCAGGGGATTGGAGCCAAACTCCCTCGCATCAAACCTGATTGTCTGCCTTTTTTTTTCAACCGCTGTATGGCCTTGCGGGTTAATGCTTCACATGAATATAATAACATTAACAATATGAGAGATAATTAAAGAGACAAGAAAAAAAAGAGATGTGATTGCTGCCTCGGAAGGTCAAGGAAAATGGGGGGGGGGGGTCAGTGGTCGATGTGGCCTTCAAACACACACACACACACACACACACACACACACACACACACACACACACACACACACAACACACACACACACACACACACACGACATGACGGAAGGAATAGACTCTGAGGTGTCCCTGTTTGCAGATGACGTGAAGTTGATAAGAAGAATACACTCGATCGAAGACCAGGCAGAACTACAAAGGGATCTGGACAGGCTGCAGACCTGGTCCAGCAATTGGCTCCTGGAGTTCAATCCCACCAAGTGCAAAGTCATGAAGATTGGGGAAGGGCAAAGAAGGCCGCAACGGAGTACAGTCTAGGGCCAGAGACTACAAACCTCACTCAAGGAAAAAAGATCTTGGGGTGAGTATAACACCAGGCACATCTCCTGAAGCGCACATCAACCAAATAACTGCTGCAGCATATGGGCGCCTAGCAAACCTCAGAACAGCATTCCGACATCTTAATAAGGAATCGTTCAGGACCCTGTACACCGTATACGTTAGGCCCATATTGGAGTATGCGGCACCAGTTTGGAACCCACACCTAGCCAAGCACGTAAAGAAACTAGAGAAAGTGCAAAGGTTTGCAACAAGACTAGTCCCAGAGCTAAGAGGTATGTCCTACGAGGAGAGGTTAAGGGAAATCAACCTGACGACACTGGAGGACAGGAGAGATAGGGGGACATGATAACGACATACAAAATACTGAGAGGAATTGACAAGGTGGACAAAGACAGGATGTTCCAGAGATTGGACACAGTACCAAGGGACACAGTTGGAAGCTGAAGACACAGATGAATCACAGGGATGTTAGGAAGTATTTCTTCAGCCACAGAGTAGTCAGTAAGTGGAATAGTTTGGGAAGCGATGTAGTGGAGGCAGGATCCATACATAGCTTTAAGCAGAGGTATGATAAAGCTCACGGCTCAGGGAGAGTGACCTAGTAGCGATCAGTGAAGAGGCGGGGCCAGGAGCTCGGACTCGACCCCCGCAACCTCAACTAGGTGAGTACAACTAGGTGAGTACACACACACGCACACACACGCACACACAACACGCACACACACACACACACACACACACCACACACACACACACACACACACACAACACACCACACACACACACACACACACACACACGCACACACACACACACACACACACACACACACACACACACACACACACACACACACGCACACACGCACACACACACACACACACACACACACACACACACACACACACACACGCACACACGCACACCACACACACACACACACACACACACACACACACACCACACACACACACACACACACACACACACACACACCACACACACACACACACACACACACACACACACACACACACACACACACACACACACACACATCAATTATGGTTGAACACCCTGCCCTACTCTTTGCACTTCCCACTAATCTCCACATACCCCTCTCCAATTAGTCTCGCATTTGCCAGAAGGTGGTGCACTTGTCGGGTAATATATCAACCACGGCATTGTCCTAGTCACATGACGACTAGCTTAGCGGCAAAGCAAACTTTGGTGTACATAAGAATGAAGGAACACTAGAGCAGGTCTACTGGCCTATGCTAGGCGGGTCTGATTCACACCCACTCATATCACAGATTGGGTGGGGTTCAAACCTATGGCAGGCGAATCCCAAAGCTCATAGGCCAGTGTAAACCACTGGACCAGCTGGCTCTAATAGGATTCATCCAACTAGGTATATTATTTTTATAAATTAGACACATGTGCAACTCTTGGGTATCTTTATTGAGGAAACGTTTCGCCACACAGTGGCTTCATCAGTCCATACATAGAAGAAATTTGAAGAACAGGAGGAGAATGAGGTAATCAGTCCCTCAACCTTGAGTCGATGTGTTCAGTCCATCAATCTTGAGTAGAATACGGCAGATGAGCGGAGAAGCAGCTTATAAACCGTATGGCAGGAGAGGTGCAGTAGTCATAGGTGGTGTCACATTTGTTCAGTGTGGAAGTAGGTTGTGCTTCGCTTGCCTAATTCTTGGGCACAACCTACTTCCACATTGAACAAATGTGACACCACCTATGACTGCTGCACCTCTCCTGCCATACGGTTTATAAGCTGCTTCTCCGCTCATCTGCCGTATTCTACTCAAGATTGATGGACTGAACACATCGACTCAAGGTTGAGGGACTGATTACCTCATTCTCCTCCTGTTCTTCAAATTTCTCCTATGTATGGACTGATGAAGCCACTGTGTGGCGAAACGTTTCCTCAATAAAGATACCCAAGAGTTGCACATGTGTCTAATTTATCAACATGTCGGTTCTCTGAACCATTCATCTACAAATATTATTTTTATATACCGCAGGGAGGCGAGTTGTAGGACTTACCTGTCATAGGTTCGAATTGTACTCGTTTCGCTCTGGAGGAGCTTTGTCAAGCCAACAGTATATGGACACAGAGGATATTTATAGGTAATCAAATGGGGTCCTGGTTAGGTCTGATGGATGTGCTGGATGCGATGGCAATTTGGCTGTTGGGAAGAATTATAACTTTGAAGTGGTGTTAGAGTGAAGAACTGATGATATGAAGGGCTCTTGCAGTCCTTGATGAAAAAAAAGGAAGGAAACTAATTCAATGAAGGTTTCGTGTATGTATGCGCATTCCTCGTCAAGAAACTGGGGACTGCAACTTCAACATGCTCTAATGAAAAATCCGATAACGATGCCTCGTTCGTCTTAGTATCCTGACTGGAATGGACATGTGTGAAATCGTTTTCATTTTCTAGGCTTCCTGTAAAGTCGGAATTTTAGGGTGTTACCTATTTTGTGAATGAGGGCGCCGAGTTCTGGTAACCTGTTACTGGACTTTTGTTCAAGTGTGAATTGGATAGCTAGTTCAACTGTAGATTCTGCACGTTAATATGTATGTGGGAGTTTGAATAAATTATTTAGAAACCAAGTTGATAAATGAGACACTTGTGCAACATCTGGGTATCTTTATTGTAGACATTTCGCCATCCAGTGGCTTTATCAATACAAATTCAAGGACATAACTGGAAGACAGTAGAACTACAAAAGATGAGGTAATCAGTCCCTCAGCCTTGGAGTTGGTGTGAAGAGCACCGTGTCTAATTTTCATGTCATATATTGCTTTGTAAAGCCTGGTGACTGCAAGAAAAGTCCTTCAAATCAATTCTCCACGCACTAGCACCACTTTAAAGTTATAATCCTTCCCAAAAGCCAGGGTACCTTGAACGCACCAAAGTACTCGCACTTGCTCATACTAGTCGCCATCGCAACTGGTACAACCATCAAAGGACTAACCAGGACAAAAGTGAAGAGCCTTGAACCAGTCAGTGCAAAATTACAACCTTATACTTGTCTGCACTGAACTACATATGACACTTCTCTGGCCATAACATCAACCTGTTAGGTCATCCTATAGCATTCTAGTATCCAAATCAGAAATTATTTGGCGGCCTAAATCAATGTCATCGGCAAACTTACTTTTTTCGCTATTTCTTCCCTCATTAATGTCGTTGACGTAGATAGTGAAGAACGAACGTTCCAAACACGATCCCTGTGGCACACCACTCGTATCAGGTCCCCATTCCGATTTTTCCCCATTAATGCAAATTCGTTGCCTATCGGTTAGCCATGCCTCGACCCTGAGATAATTTCTCCTACGGAATTAGAAGGTGATGGCATTTGGTTTCCCAGGAAACAGTAGTGTCTCCTGACACGAGTCTTAATTAGGTGTTCCATTCAGTGGTTAATTAAGCATCCGTTGGTCAATCCTAGTAAAGTTTTCACCCTATAAAAAAGAGGGGGTCACTAAATAGTGGTGGCTCGTGACTAGTATGAGTTTTGGAATACAGAAGTATTTGAGCGTGTTTATGTTGCACAAGGGAATACATTATTTTATAAGTACTACTGGAGGGACGTGGCGTGCACTGTGTGGTGCACCAGATAAAACTAAAGTAGGCAGCAGTTTAAATAATTAACATATCATAGATGATCTTTTATCATTTTCGTTGGAATCGACACAGGTAGAATTATTTTTTTTGGTAAAGGTAAGGAGGAGGCAATATGGCATAAAACGAATCACATGGAAATTTCTCCATCTAGACAAATCAGTTAAATATTGTTTTGCAAATTTTATGTAGCATTTTTTTTATTTCCACCAAAACTAGCCTAGCAACCTAACCTAACCTGCCAAAATTTACGTAAAATAATATCGTTTAATTTACTAACCCTAAGAATTTGCATAACTATCTTTCACTGTTTTCAGGCGACTCCGTAAGGCTGTATTATGATCCAGGACAGAAGCAAGGAATTTAATATAGATGAGTCCTATGTAAAGTAAATACGAAAACCAATAACAGATCACACGAACATTATAAACTGTTTTAAAATTTAGTGTCAGAGAGAGAGAGAGAGAGAGAGAGAGAGAGAGAGAGAGAGAGAGAGAGAGAGAGAGAGAGAGAGAGAGAGAGAGAGAGAGAGAGAGAGAGAGAGAGAGGGGAAAGGAGGTAGTACTGACAAAATATTATCACTGAGGCATATAAAATAGCCTTTAGATATATGGACGGAGAAACTAAAAGCGAAGTGCAATTCGTAACATGTAAGGCCAGGACTGCAACGCTGGTGTGATGTCCATCAATATAAAAAATTGTGGATAAAACACAAAACGTCCCAACACGAGCTAAAAGATGGATCACAGAAGTAAAATTAAAACACGAGGTGATTGCAAATATGTAATTACACACACTGTATACCACAAATATGTAATTACACACACTGCATACAACAAATATGTAATTACACACACTCTATACCACTTATGTCAGTCCAATGTTTAAGTATGTAACACCATACTGGAGCTCCAAGGTAAAGAGGGAGGGGAATTACGCGACTAGACCATGGCAGAGGGGAGAGATCTGAATAAGCTGAGGGTATAAGACAGCTCATGATAGATGACTGAGTTAGGGTAAAGTGGGAAGGAAAGGTGATATAATATGGTAGAAGGGGAGGTGATGGAAGGGATAGTGAGAGGGGTAAGTGAGGGGAGCGTGTATGTATACAGTAACCCATGGTAATGATGGTAGGGATCATGGTGGGGAGGGGGGATATGTTACTATACCAACACCATCGCGGTATTGTGTGTTGTCAGTAACTGCATACATTGCGCAGTACAGAGACAACCCCATCCTAACCTACACAAGTCACTTTAGCCCCACCTCCTCCTCCTCCAACCCCACATCTAATCCAATCATCCACTTTGTGAAAACTTTGCCGCCAACATTTGGAAAATCATCAACGTGTTTGAACCTCGTGGGGCCGCGGGTTGACTCAGGCGAGAAGCAGGCAAGAGAATCCTGCAGGCATACGGACGCTGTGTACGACAATCAATAGCCTGCCTCCAGAAGATGTGTGGTGGCGATAGCACGCTGCAACATCGTCCACCCGCCCCCCTTCCACGCCGCCCACCGCCCACACCCGGCGAAGTGCAGCTCCCAGGGACAGGTTGTGGAGCAGCGCCCCCAGCCATAACGTCGCCTCGGAGCTCAGTGCCACACCCACGGTCAACACCAGTCTGGCAAGAAGCGTGGAGAGCCGCGCTCACTACCATAATACTGACCTCGCATCACCAAATGGACAAGTGAACCTAATGTCTGAAACTGTGCTACTGACAAGTGAACCCAATGTCTGAAACTGAGCTACTGACAAGTGAACCCTATGTCTGAAACTGTGCTACAGACAAGTGAACCCAATGTCTGAAACTGTGCTACTGACAAGTGAACCCAATGTCTGAAACTGTGCTACTGACAAGTGAACCCAATGTCTGAAACTGTGCTACTGACAAGTGAACCCAATGTCTGAAACTGCGCTACTGACAAGTGAACCCAATGTCTGAATCTGTGCTACTGACAAGTGAACCCAATGTCTGAAACTGCGCTACTGACAAGTGAATCCAATGTCTGAAACTGCTACTGACAAGTGAACTCAATGTCTGAAACTGTGCTACTGACAAGTGAACCCAATGTCTGAAACTGTGCTACTGACAAGTGAACCCAATGTCTGAAACTGCTACTGACAAGTGAACCCAGCGTTTTAAACTGTACTACTGACAAGTGAACCCAATGTTTAAAATTGATACTGACAAGTGAACTCAATGTTTTAAAATATACTACTGACAAGTGAACCCAATATGTTAAACTGTTACCTACAAGTGAATCCATTGTCTTAAACTGTGCTACTTATGGTGTTACACTGCTACTTACGAACAGATCCAACATTTTAAAAGTGCTGCTGACGAACAGATCTTAAAACAGTACTTACGAATACATCCATCTTAAAACAGTGCTGCTTACGAATACATCCATCTTAAAACAGTGCTGCTTACGAATACATCCATCGTAAAACAGTGCTGCTTACGAATACATCCATCGTAAAACAGTGCTGCTTACGAATACATCCATCTTAAAACAGTGCTTACGAATACATCCATCTTAAAACAGTGCTTACGAATACATCCATCGTAAAACAGTGCTGCTTACGAATACATCCATCTTAAAACAGTGCTGCTTACGAATACATCGATCTTAAAACAGTGCTGCTTACGAATACATCCATCTTAAAACAGTGCCGCTTACGAATAGAACCATCTTAAAAGTCTTGCTTACAAATAGAACAATTTTAAAAGAGTGCTGTTGCGAATAGAACCATTTTAAAACAGTGTTGCTTACGAATAGAACCATCTTCAAACTGTGTTGTTACGAATAAATACATCTTAATACGGTGCTTAAAATATATATATATATATATATTCTTTGGGGGAAAGGTTCCAAACTCATAAGAGAAAGAAAGAGTAACCATCGCCTAGACAGCCACAGGACTTCCATCATAGCTCTGATGCTTCCTCAGGAGAACGTGGTTCTGGCAGGTGTTTTACAAGTATTAAGGGGATGGTTTTGGTACAGATGAGTGTTTGCTAAAGTGAATCAAGTGAAATGAAATAAAGGGAATGGATCAAGTGGAATGAAATAAGGGGATTGAAACTAGTGGAATTAAACACGGAAATGAAACAAGCTGAATAAAATACGGGAAATAAAACAAATGTAATGAAATACAAGTAGTGAAACAAGTGGAATGAAATACGGGAGTGCAGAAAGTGGAATAAAATACGGGGAATGAAACAAGTGGAACGAAATACGGGGAATGAAAAACGAGAGACCCAGAACGAGTACACTTCTCGACAGACTGAAGACATGCACGCATGTAGGTGTGGGCGTGGGTGTGCATTTTAGAGTGGGCGTGAATACTGCCGCGAGCGTGGAGGCTTGAGAGTAACCAGGGAGGAGGAGTATACTCACCCACTACCATGTGCAGCAACGATGACGCCGTGGCCACCGTGTGTGAGTAGTTACAACTGTCATTTAGCGCCAGGTGACACTATGTCACATGGTAGAGTAATTTGAGCCATTTTCTGACAATTCATTTTCTTAACTAAAATACCCAATTTACCTCTCGTGTCTCAGCGCTAGGCTTGTATCATTTAATGGTGTGTGTGTGTGTGTGTGTGTGTGTGGTGTGTGTGTGTGTGTGTGTGTGTGTGTGTGTGTGTGTGTGTGTGTGTGTGTGTGTGTGTGTGTGTGTGTGTCGTTTAGTTTGTACAACATGGTAGTTTATCAGAGATGAGCTTGTCACAGATGGTAGTTTGTATCACAGATGGTTGAGTCACAGACGGTTTTTTGCACCACAGATGGTAGATATTACAAAAGATGGTAGCTTTCGTTATTGAATGGTAGCAGATAGTAGTCTGTATCACAGATGGTAGCTAGTGTCACAGATGGTAGCTTGTAATACAGGTGGTAGCTTGCACTACAGATGGTAGCTTGTGTCATAGATGGTACATTGTTTTCTCTTAAAAAAGGAGAGGGTCACCTCCAATTAGCCAGTATATTAAACTGAAGAGGTAGGTCCAAAAAGCAAGAAGGAAAGATCAAAAGAAAATATGAAAGTAAAGTTGCGATGGAATCAAAGACAAATTTTAAATGATTTTTTTTCAGGTGCATATTAATAAGATTAGGGAAAGGATAGGCCTACTTAAATTCAACGCATGTAAGCTAACAGTTGGTGACAATGATCTGTGTCATTATTAACACTTATTTCCTCTGTTTTTACGCTAAGAGGATACAAATGAAATTCCATAGATCAAAATCGCTAGTGACACGGTCATCAGAGAACTACAGGAGGTCCTGAGTTGGTACTCCCGTAGTTGCAATCGTCTTGTTTGTATATTATGTCTGTAGTAAACGATAACTCAGGGCCTCCTACCTCAAGCCAACTAAAAATATATTTAACCACAAAATAACAACTGGCAACGAAGTAGCTCATTAAAATAAGGCAGAGTCCAAATGTGAACGTTGACGAGTGGTGGTGAGAGTGGGTAGGGCACTATTATTATAATTATGGGGGAGCGCTAAACCAAGAGGATTATACAGCGCATGTGGGGGGGGATGGAAGGTATTCAGGCTCAATTCAGGGAACTGGAGCACAGATCCAATTCCCTAGATCAAGAGCACCTCACCAGCATCAAGGATCCACCCATGAGGTTTGTGGGTAAGGCAACACAGCACTATCCATCAGCGAAGCCAACTTGCCCCAACACACTCGCCCCTCACAAGGTCACTAATTACACTAGGCAAGCGTAAGATTACTGACATTAGTCTCGTGCAGCGTTTATTGATATGATTTAATGAGTTTAATTCTTTAGGGACGCAGTTATTTCACTGAGTAATGTTTCTTTGAAGTGTGTGTACTCACCTATATGTGGCTGCAGGAGTCGAGTCACAGCTCCTGGCCCCCGCCTCTTCGTTGGTCTCTATTAGGTCAACTCCCGGGTCCAAGAGCCTTACCGTACCTCTTATGGGTCCTTCCTCTACTATTTCACTCTCCAGATTGTTCCACTTCCTGATAACTTGAAGGCTGAAGAAATACTTCCTAACGTCCCTAAGACTCATCTGAATTTTCAACTTTAGCTGTGCCCTCGTGTTTATATTTCCCATCTCTGAAACTGTGTGTGTGTGTGTGTGTGTGTGTGTGTTTATGTTTTGTTCCCGCTCCGCAACGCACACGACTCAAATATGTATGTCACCACATACACGACTCAAACATCATGTATGTCACCACATACACGACTCAAACATCATGTATGTCACCACATACACGACTCAAACATCATGTATGTCACCACATACACGACTCAAACATCATGTATGTCACCACATACACGACTCAAACATCATGTATGTCACCACATACACGAAGCCAATAGCTCGGAGCTAAATGGTAAAAAGAAAAAAAAAGTATTTTGGTTTACGTTAATTTTCGTTTCATTGTCTTTGCTGCTTGAAGAAACATTGTTTTGTAATATTTTCACAATTTCTGATTTTTTTAAATATTTTTTTTTTTACGAAATTTCAGTTTTTTTCACTAACGTAGTACAGTATAGTCTTGTAAACTGCCACGGTTTTTGTTCAAACCTGCAGTTTGTAGTTTCGTAGTGTTGAGCCTATTCATAAGAATCCTGCAAGCTCAGTATGATTATGTTCATAGGGGAACGCTCAAGACTAACGTCTTGGGTTGAATAGTATGTCTTAAAGGGACCGGTTCATCACAACTTTATAGTCCACCGTGATGTTGAGTTAGTATACATACAAACTTTACCAGTTCATCACAACTCTCATTAACTGTGATGTGTGTGTTGGTATACACGCAACCTTTACTAATGGCTGGTCATGATCCAGCAGAGTAGTGTGTGGTTGACCATCCTTTTTCCATGCACTAGTTCACCTCTTCCTCTTCTCTCTTTCCCTGTTCCCTCACTCTCTAAATTCCTGTTTCTTCGCTCTTCCCTGACTCTCTCCCCAGCCCTCTTTTTCTTGTCCATCAGCAATAATTATTATAGTAGCAATGATACAAATACGCGGCCTGTTATGGCATACTGACGGAATGAGGTGAAGCTTGGCCATCTGCCCGTAAGCTTGCCTGGGCCTGGGCAGCCTAGCCCGGATGGTTTAAGGGAAGTCATATGACATACACTAACGGTCAGAGGCGTCCACATATGGGTGGACACCCATATGTGTCAAGAATTGACAGTCCTGGCGAAAACTGAAGTGGAAATCCACAAGAATCTCCAGTTCTGCTGGATGTTATATCCTAGACCAAATGCCAATATTCAAAAGATGAGCAGTGGATGGTGTGTCGGGGAAGTGGGTGTTATGTGGGTGAGAATGAATGACTGGTGAGTGGAATGCTGGTGGGGTGTGGGAGGGTGAGTCAATAAATAAGCGAGTGTGGTTGGTTACTGGGGTTTGAAGCTTATCGACTACACTATTGTCATTAAGGATGCACCACGATACACGAATACTTTAATCCCTAGAAAAGATATTAAACTGTTAGCATATATACACTGAGAGAAATACACTTCTCAGTGTATAAAAGCTGAGAGAAATACACTTCTCAGTGTATATACACTGAGAGAAATACACCTCTTGGTGTATATACGCTGAAATACACCTATCGGTGTATATACCCTAAGAGAAATACCCATGTCGGTGTGTATATCCTGTCACGAGTGTGGAGTCAACATGTGTACAAGTGGAAGTACGGAAGGGTTGAAAGTGCTCAGGTGGAGAGGGGGTTAATGTGAGGATGTGAGGAGAGGGGGGTTAGTGTTGAGGGAGGGATAGAGGAGGGAAGGGGTTAGTGTATAAATTCTTCAGCAACAGCTCCTAACCTCAAATTTCTTACATAATCAACATACCTAACCAAGGAATTGGGTGTCGAGGAATTCCCTGTCGACTAATTTAGGCTTGGAACTTGAAGGTTGGGCGGGCGTCGCGTCGCCCAGTAAGGAAGGATAAACAACCTGAATGGGTGACCAGGTTGACAAATATCTCTTGGCAAGGCATAAATCAGTCATTCACAAACTTCCTGTCTACAACTCAGGTATACCAATACTTATGTGGATATACCGTGTATACTTGGTATATCGGACAGCGAAACACACAGAGCCCTAAATAGGTCGGTCTGTGTCGCTATTTAAAGCGATATAAACTTGAAAAAACCTTATTTATGGCAAAATAGATTTGTAAAGCTGTATTTAGGCGATATAGACTTTATATAGTCTTATTTATGGTGATATAGTCTTGATAAAGTACTGGCTAAAACATTGTGTAGTTTTAAAAATAGGTTGGATAAATACATGAGTGGGTGTGGGTGGGTGTGAGTTAGATCTAACTAGCTTGTGCTACTAGGTCTGATGCCGTGACCTGACTAGGTGGGTTATTGGGCTAATCCGGGGGGAGGGGGACATGGACCTGCTTCGCATGGGTCAGTAGGCCTGCTGCACTGTTCCTTCTTTCTTATATTCTTATATAGTCTTGATAAAGTCCTGGTTATAGTGTTACAGTGTTGATAACACGCTAGTTATGGTGATATAGTCTTGATAAAGTACTAGTTATGGTGATATAGTCTTGATAAAGTACTAGTTATGGTGATATAGTCTTGATAAAGCACTGGTTATAGTGATAGTCTTGATAACACGCTAGTTATGGTGATACAGTCTTGATAAGTACTAGTTATGGTGATATAGTCTTGATAAAGTACTAGTTATAGTGATACAGTCTTGATAAAGTACTAGTTATAGTGATACAGTCTTGATAAAGCACTGGTTATAGTGATAGTCTTGATAACACGCTAGTTATGGTGATATAGTCTTGATAAGTACTAGTTATGGTGATATAGTCTTGATAAGTACTAGTTATGGTGATACAGTCTTGATAAAGTACTAGTTATGGTGATATAGTCTTGATAAGTACTAGTTATGGTGATATAGTCTTGATAAAGTACTAGTTATGGTGATATAGTCTTGATAAAGTACTAGTTATGGTGATCCAGTCTTGATAAAGCACTGGTTATAGTGATAGTCTTGATAACACGCTAGTTATGGTGATATAGTCTTGATAAGTACTAGTTATGGTGATATAGTCTTGATAAAGTACTAGTTATAGTGATACAGTCTTGATAAAGCACTGGTTATAGTGATAGTCTTGATAACACGCTAGTTATGGTGATATAGTCTTGATAAGTACTAGTTATGGTGATATAGTCTTGATAAAGTACTAGTTATGGTGATATAGTCTTGATAAAGTACTAGTTATGGTGATACAGTCTTGATAAAGTACTGGTTATAGTGATAGTCTTGATAAGTACTAGTTATGGTGATATAGTCTTGATAAGTACTAGTTATGGTGATATAGTCTTGATAAAGTACTGGTTATAGTGATAGTCTTGATAAGTACTAGTTATGGTGATATAGTCTTGATAAGTACTAGTTATGGTGATATAG